TTCAGGTTTTAAGCTCAAAGCCAAAAAATAACCCTGATGATGTCTGTGTTGTAGTCAACATGATGAGTAAACAGGCTGTGTGTACATTGCACCTTTTAATAAGTTTGATACTTGTTGCTCATCAGCTTTGTTTAGCGTGAAAACGATGCCAAACCTGATTTGTCTACTTCAGTTTAAAATTAACATCCATTCATAAAATTTTCTCCTTGTGATGCTTAAACTGGCCACTGCTGTTGTATATTAACCCGTTCCATCCACCCTTTTCTCTCAGTGAACACTAACATTACCTTGACAAGAGTTAAGATACAAAGGTTGCTCTTTGGGAAATAAATCTTTCAACAGTTAGCTACATATGATCACTGTGTAAGGCGCGTAAAGCCGCCAAACAGTAACTATTTAACAGTGTTGGGAGAGGCAATTACTCAAGTACTGTATACTATATTATATGTGGTAATATGTGGTAGTTGCTACCTTGGTAGTGGCTAATGGGGATCCAAATAAATAAATAAATATGTAACTGTACTGTAGAGCTTTTAGCTTATTGAATTTGAGTATTAAGTATTTAAACTTTTGCTACTTTAAACTTCTACTCCGCCACATTTTATTGGGAGATTCTGTGCTTTTAACTCCTCTACATTTTTCACAGCTATAACTAATAGCTATAGTTACTAGTTACTTTATAAAGAATCTTATGAAAATGAAAGAGACTTCACAGTAAATTCATAACAGCACGTTAAAAGCATGAGTTGCATTCAAAATCTATTCAGTCTGCTCCTGGTATTGTCTCATTTCTCGCCTTGTTGACGCAGCTGTTGCAGCCGTTTATCATTTCCAACATTTCTGAGTGACTGCATTCTTTCCCACTGTAGCTCTGACGAGCTGTATGCCTACCTAACACACTGTCGACCAGACTTGTGTATACTTGAGGGAGGGGAGGAGGAGGGGGAGGCAGACCGTGACGAAGAGGAGTTTGTACTAATTGAGGACAAAGAGGAGGACGAGGAGGACGAGGATGAGGAGGAGGTGTTCCAGAGGCACCGCAGCTCAGGGGACGACTGGGAGGTAAGCGGGTTGATTTCAGTCTCACGGGAGAGTGGCGATCTAGCCAGTGTTTCGTGGACATTTGTGTAAATAATGGAGAATAAGAGGTGTGTTTGTTTGTGAACACACTTGCCTCAAGGTGAGAGTCACTACAGACGGAAACACCTGGTTCTTGGTGAGGACAAAAGGGAGGTTTCATCGCTCCTGATGTTCTAGAACAAACCGACTGTGTTTTGTTTTTAACCTGTTCTTTTGCAGATGGTGCTGATGGAAGACGGTGGGGACAAACCAACCCTGGTCATTGACAGGGACCCTGAAGGACTCAATAGTATTGTAGAGAGCAGCCACATTTTGGAAGCGTCACATGTTAGAGAGGTGAGTAACACAGAGGTAGTATGAAGCATAGAAACTCTCCAAACACATGTCTGATCTGTAGCTGGAGCCAGCTGCATCAGCGGTTTGTAAATCCATCATAACAGTAGGTTTGTGTGTAAAACGCTTCCTAAGGTCTAAGACCATGGGCATGGGTTTAGTTTCAGAAATTGGCACAATGAAGTTAAAGGTTCTTCAACAAAAAAGAAAGAAAAGAAAAGAAACTACTAATAATGTGTGTGTGAATGTTTTTTTTTTTTTTGCCTTTACATACATTTATATAAATCCAGAAACAGATTGTGATACATTTGGTTATGATGCTCTCCATAATAATAGTAGTATTAAAAAAAAAAAGGTACATTAATTGCCGCATTGTTAATTACTAATCACCATTACTAATCATAATTAAAATCATGTCAGTTTTTTTATTTTTTCACCTCCACCTGCAAGGTAGGGCAGTACTGGGACCTGGGAGGCCGAACCCAGGGCTAGGAAAAGCCTTACACTTTAGGAATGTCTTAGTATTGTATAAACTGGTTGCTAGGAAACATCTGTGGCACTGTGCAATCACAAGCAATTAGCTTTATAAACAGGAAGTCACCACAGCTGTGACATAACTTCTAAAAATAACAGGTTCAGGGGGGCAAATGATATATTGAGTTTAACTTGTAAATGTAGGCATGTAGGCAGTTTCTTTAACATTCTGTGCATTTCTAAGTTACATAAAATATTTACGCTGTTGGTTAACACTTATACTACTTCTCAGAAACTGGTACAACTGGCAGAAGAGTAGGCTGATTGTTGTGTGGATCAAAATTATGTTGATTTATTAATCCTTGGATCATTACTCTGAATGTACACAGATATCTACACAGATGGTATCTACAGTATCTTGTTAGCATCTAGATATCAGGATCTGGCTCTGTTGATATTTCTAATCCTTCCTTCCCTTCCTTTCATTTTTATTTTCATTTTATTTTATTACATTTTTCTCCGCTCCTTTTCATCTCTTTCCAGTTATGTAAGGAACTTCCCCCCAGGACAGTCGGCCATACCTGGCACCTGGCTTACAGTACGTCCCGTCACGGCGCCAGCCTCAAGTCTCTCTACAGAAAACTCAGTACCACAGACTCCCCTGTGCTTATTGTCATCAAAGATGCACTTGATGAGGTAAAAACACTAATCTCTAATATCAATTAGAGGTGTTTCTAAAAGTGTCCCCAAAAATCCTTGGGAAAGGAAGAGATCTTCATTGTCTCTTCTATCTATCTTTCTCTTGTTTTGTCTTTTTCCTGTAAAGCACTTTGTAATTCTCATTTTGAAAAGTACTATTTAAATAAAGTTTCCTTGCTTCCTTTGTAAATTGCCATGTTTTTTTATTGTTACTGTCTCTTGTGACATTTCTTCATCAGATATTCGGGGCTTTCCTCTCTCACCCTCTGAGGCCCAGTGAGACTTTCTACGGCACAGGAGAAACATTTCTCTTCATGTTGCACCCTCGCTTCAAGGTAAACCCGCTAACAACTATACTGAGGGGTTTTTCTTGGGTTTTTTTTTTTTTAGCTCAGCTGATTTGTAACATATCTAAACATCACAAACTTTTTGATTTTGTATAAGGTCAACGTGCAAAGTGTCAGAAAGCCATTAATACAATCCAGATTAAATGACTAAAGGGGAAGGGTATGGATAGCTGCATGTGTCAGTCTTTGTGACACTTTCTTTTGTGGTTATTGTGCCGCTGTCTCTCTGCAGTGCTTCAGATGGACTGGAGAAAACTCTTTCTTCATTAAAGGAGACTTGGACTCCTTTGCCATTGGTGGAGGGAGGTAATGCCCCCCCACTTTCTCTCTTACATACAATTTACAGTATACTTGTATGTTATGTGAAAACGATCATGGATAATCAGTCAAACCAAGTTAAAGAAAATACTTTTTCTGTTTCTCCTGCAGTGGTCACTTCGGTCTGTGGGTGGATGAGAATTTGTACCTGGGCCGCAGCAGCCCCTGCTTCACTTTCAATAACTGTTGCCTCTCAGAAACGGACGACTTCCGAGTCATGGAGCTGGAGGTGTGGACATTCAGCTGAGGACACTGGATCAATGTTGAGTTTCTCCTAAACTCATCTCTTCGCTGCTGATCAGCTTTATCAAGACGGTATTTATCACTGAGCAAAAACATAAGCAGCTGCTCGCTCATTTCATGGTAACATCCATGTCAAAAAAAAATCTGAACTTCAAACTGCTGGATTCGTCCGTGTGATTAAGTGCTGTGGATTTTCGTGAAATGAATGAGGCTGATCCTGAACAGCTCGCTGTCCCAGAGTTGGATCTAATGGTGGCTTGTTTCATGGCTGACTCATTCCTGTGGGTTTGGCAACCAAACTGAGTTCTGCTGTAGTGAGTAGAGAGTAGAGCTGAACTGAAATGGGTTCGTTGAATCCTCAGTTTTGAACGGGAGTAGGTTACAAGTCTCAGATAATGCACTTTGCTCTTAATGTGAATCAGTAACTTCTCAACATTTGTGAACATGATGGAACATCTTTCTTCATAGGTAATGCATGTCCCCACTTTCATACAGCTGTGTTCAGTCAAAGCTGAACCTTTGAAACACACTTTAGTATTCTTTCCGAATAGATTTCTAAACTGCACGTGTACAGCCAACAGTCCCGCTAATACAGTTCTTTTCTCAGCCACTGTTCATTTCTACAGGTTTCAATCATTAGCTTCATAGAGGGCATAAATGAACTCATCACAAGAACTGTTGGAGCTCGAGTTTGAGAAAAGCTTTCCACCTGAAAAACAACCGTACCTGCAGTGAATCTTAAGAGCCTCATCCATGACTATTCTGAACTCTTTTCATTTCAAGTGATGACTCATACGCCACTGTGGTGTCTGAATGACACAAAAGACTCGATTATTACTGCAAATTAATGCAATTTTGTCATTCAACTGTATCCGTAACATGCTCTCAGTCCAGCTCTCCCCGTCTACTTTGCTTACATTGTACAGTATTGTAGATTAGTTAATAAAAATCAGCACAATGTGAAAATTACAAAAAAACAACTTTGTATGCTTGATTGTTGTACTTGACAGAAAGAACACAATTCAACTGGTAAAAAAAAAAAACTCTTTAATTCCACCTTGTGAAAAAATGGCACAAGATAACTGTTTCTGTCCTAAAGGTTTCAAGGTCAGATATTTCACGTTGACAGGACCTTGTATGACTTCGAAAGTGCAACACTTTTATTCTCATTTATCAAAATGCACTGTCACTACTTCAGGTGGGATTTCTTGATCCCCAGGTTCTTGTTTTTTTACACTAAAAACAGGAATTTGGTATTGAAGAAGAAGCGTTTCTTTTTGTATGACTTGAAAAGGTGAAAATAGACATACTGTGAAAAACAGCTAATGGTAGATCCAGGTTTGCCACATTTTCCCCTTAAAATATCAAGGATGTCCGTGTCTTGATGAAGACACAAGCAAACACATTATTCTGACTGGAGCCTAAAAGAGGATAACAACAGTACACGGTACTCCATGTGCCTTTCAGTTCAAGGATCAAACAATTTTTGATCCTTTGATCCAACCTACTGAATTTCTTTGTGCTCAACAGCTGCCCTAGCTGCAAGCCAGCTACTGTACATGTTAAAAACAATGTTCTTTGGTGTGTTTACATCCTCCTCTAAACAAAAAAAATCTTCAAAATATTCCAACATTTGGTTTCAAACTCAAAAGTACAAGAAAACAGCTGAATTAAACATTTTATGTGCCGCAGTCCAGTTTAATTTTTCCTGCTGCGTTTGTCCCCTGAGGCAGAGAAGGGTGTTCCCTCCAGCAGCCTCGGCAAAGAACATCAGGCATTACCCAGCCCACGGAGGGCTTTCAGGCAAAGTCTTCACAAACTGCTGAAGCACAACTGGAGGCAACAACTGCCCCGGCGCCGCCTCTGGGTACCCTCAACAGCAGGAAAACTCACTTTGTCATTAAATATTGCACGTGCAACACCAGGATATAAAAGAAGGAATATCAAATGTTGCTTCGTGTCGTGATGCATTTATGATTTGTCTTTAGGATGGCACTGGCACTTGCACTCAAGAATGACTTGTCAGGCCTCTGTCTACATGTTATACCAACACTAATCAGCAGCTGCGAAGCAGAGAGAGCAGATCTAAATGTGGTTAAATATTTGTTACTGCTGAGTGCAAGGCCTTTATATTTCATGAAAGTATGCTATATTGACTAACAGTACAGTATATGTGCCGTTTGTCACAATACAAATACTGTATATAAAACATTTCTGACCAGGAGAGATGCCCAAAATAAATAGTAACAAACAGCATAGAAGGCAAAAACGTTTCTCAGCTGCCAACATAGATGAGAAAGCTTCTCTATATAATTGTTGGAGGGTTTTCCTTATCTTGGATCATTACCCAGAGGAATGATTGTCATTTCCTCCAGTTTAGTCTCTCAGGCTCTATCACACTCACACACACATTAATGTGCCAGGTACTCCTTAGCTTTCTCCAACCCCTCTTTCAGAAAGCTGATATAAGTGGATGTAGAGGGGTCCTCAAACCCTGCAGAGAAGCTGAAAGTTGCTCCTTCCTCCTCTGGTTTCATGGCTGTCTCGTCCAGGAAGAAGTTGGCATTGATGTGGTGGACCTAAAACCACACACAAGATGTAGATGAAAGGTTTTACTGAAGCCTAGAAAACCTAGAAGATGATGCATGCATGTTACTGTATTTAATTTTATTTCACTGATATCAGCCTCACTGTTAACTATCCTACAGTGTGTTAAGTTAGTGGTAATGCAAACCCAACATTTAATGCTGCTGTTAGTTCACATTAAAATTTCTTGATCTAACACTGATATCATTATGATTGTATATTACAAAAATACTTACAATGGTTCCATTAGGCATCGCCACCATCATCTCCACAGGGAAGTTGTACTTCTCCAGGTGTAATCGGGCCTTTTCACTCAACACAGGGTTCTGCTCATCAGCCTGATAAAAGAAGAAACTTAATTAGAAACAACTGCCCTTAAAGTAAATGCAGGATAAAGCATTTTTCCGGCCAACTTGCTACTGGCTGCTTACTAACTGGAGTGTGGAGTGTTGTAACTGCTCACCTGCATATTCTCCAGCTCTTTGACCAGAGACCAGCTGCTGATGAAGCTCTGGTTGAGCAGGGCCAGGACGGGCGAACTTTCCAGGACTGTCTCCCGGAGAGTTCGCCCCGAACCTTCAGAGGAGTAGAGAGGAGAGAGAGATGTTAAAAATGCCACAGAAATACACCAAAATGTACAGTTCAAAATTGTTAATTTCAGGTACTAACTTGATTTGCTTTTAAAGTGGTACTATGTGACTTTTGCTGAACTGAGGCCACTGTGGCTACAAGTGACAAGTGATGGAATAATGCTAAATGCTAAAAGGCAGTTTAGCTACAAGTGGAGCAGAGACATAAAGTTTGCTAAGTGGCTCAGTAACGTGCCTTAAGTTTTTTTTATATTAGCTAACATTAGCAACCATAAGCTACTGGTCACACCAGACCAAAGCAATAAAACACCTGAATGTATTAAACTGAGCAACAGTGGGCTTTATTGCTTATGAATTAAACTTTTCATCATCTTATTTCCTCCTTTAAAAGTTGGGTAGTCTTGCTCCAATATAAAGCCAGTGGTCTGAAACTTTTGAAGCCAAGTGCAGGCTTTCTTACAAAAAAATATAATATTTCATAATATAGCATATCGTCACTCATAATAAATTAATATGGAATATATTTGAGGAGGAACACTCAGATGCTTCTGCTGACTGAAGATTAAAGTAACTCCATTTTTCCCCAATAGGCTTCCAGACTGTGGAACGCCCTTGCATGAGAAACTGAGTTTTTGTGGTATCATTTTTATAAGCCTGCTTTTTGTCATTTAGCCCATTTTTAGCCTCATAATCCAAATCTTACTCCTCTCAGATGTCACTGCTAGTTTACAATGCTGTGCAATGACCTAATTGTTAATGGTCTGACCTCAGCAGGACTGGTCGTCTAATGCTCCCCAAAGCAGAATGGAATGCACCAGCTTCTTCTCTGCTTTGGCTCGCTCAAAGGCCTCTGAAAAAGGCAGGTACGACACCTGGGAAGGAGAGCAATGAGAAACAACAGTGTGCCGACTACATGCTTCATGTCAAATACAGGCGAAACATAAGCGATGTGGATGTTTACCTTCTTGAACGGGTAGAGGGTGACCTCCAGGCGTCGGGTGGCTTCTTGCCGACTGATCTCTGAAGTCCAGTGGATGTCTTCAAAGACAAACTGGATCGGCTCACTGCTGCCGTCCCGACTGTCGATAATGTTGCCGTCCTCGTCCATGATGATGGATGGAGTGGACGGGCCTATGGACTGCAGCTCTAACTGTAAACACATGAAAAACGTTTAATACAAGGAAACCTTTCACAGCATAGCATTATATATTTGATATATACTTATATACTTGATCTGTAACTTGCTAATAGATAATCAGTCAAATTTGGTCTGGTTTAGACAGTAGTACATTGAAATAAGCATCATATGAAAAAGACTCAAAGAAGAAGAAAAATCTGTGGAAAAAAAATCAAGCTCATTTTATGTTAACATATAGAGGACTAACAGAAGCAAAAACAGGAGCTTAACATGCGTTTACTTTCACGTAGCTCAATGAAAAACAAAAAAATTCTAGCAGTAGGGGAATATAACAAGAAAATGCTGTCATAATTTTGAAAAAAAGACCCACCAAACTCATTATTCACATCAGGCCACGCTTTGAGGAGAACAATAAGTCAGAACAGTGACGTGAAACATTTAGAAAGACAAAAAACCTGAAACAAGACACTCAACTGGAGAATAATTGGACTGAATCGGTTTAATGTGGCTTAAAGTGTCTTAATGACTGAGAACTAAATCAGCGTTAAATAAAGAATTAATACGAAGGGCACTCCATCATGTGGCTGCACAAAGATAAGAACACTACGTGCTGGAATATCACATAAATTAAGTAATACAGGCCTCAGTGCTCTTTTAAGTAGAAATGCATCACAGCAGCTGTACCTGCGGCAGGTATCCGATGTCCACCTCCATGTTGCTGCTCTCACTGGCCCCGTACAGCCACTCCATGTCCACATTCAGAGACCTGCAACACAACAGGACGTGTCACACCGGCTCTACAGTAGCTTACGACAGCATCAGGACGCTGTGTGCAAAGGTTTTACCTGTCATTGGGGACGTAGAGGTGGAAGTGGCGGACATGAGATGCGTCTTTAGAGAGGACGATGTTGCCAGTGAACTGGCCCGGGGTGAACCAGAAGGGAAAGTCCGGCACATCGTTGAGCTGGAACTCTGCATGAATCCTGCAGAAGAAAACAGAATGAGTAGTTGAGTTTTAAAGTCTCTAGTGCAAACGAGTGGTCTTGCATTTCTATCCTCTTAATCACAAATTCTGTATACTTAACATTACTGCTGACCATTTTCCAAAGCAAACCATTACTTGTAGTTTGACCTTTCAGGCAGTAATAGGATTTATTTAAACAGATTGCACAGACTTTTGTCTGTGTTGCATTGCTGTCACGTGAAAATACAGCTTTGAAATGTTTTCAAACTGTGACATCTGATATTTGAGGCTGTTAAAAGTATTGCAAAATGTCTGAACAAGATGTCAGCAAGTCAAACCTGGGGGAAGAAAAAAAGCAAACATGAAATGCGTAGTATAAAAGAGACAGTTTGAAATCCCACATCCCTTTAGTTTCCAAGTGGATCAGTTTCTGCATACTCATTTTAAAGCAAAACCAATGACTGCCTGACAGACATTAATCTAAAAAATGCATGATATGTTTTGGTTGCAAGTCAGCACTAATGCAAAGTGTACATAATTTCCAAGTTAATGGGCAAATGGATGAAAAAGCACCATATTAGTCCTGTGTGTCTCCTCCTCACCTGAAGACAATGTCATAATAAAAGTCACTGCTGGCACGAATGCAGGCAACTGCGCCCTGAGGAGCAAAACGTGATTTGATGAAGGGCCGAGGATGGAACATACTCAGCAAGGAGTGGATGAGAACCTGCGGCAGGAGAAGAGCAGTTTGTCAATATATCGATTACAACCTAACCCACGATTAAACAGCAATGTTTTTTTTTAGGATACCTCTTTGCCTTTTGGTGTGGGAGGGTGGTAACGATTATTGGGCAGGTATCCAGTAAAGATGTTGAGCTCGCTAGGAATCACCCACCACGTGTCTCCCACTTCAACCTTGTTCTTTGGGGGCAGGAAGACCCTGAACTGGCTGGCAGAGAAGGAAGAAGAAGGCACTGCTGGGGTTTTCCAAGACCGCAGCCCACTCAGGGAGCTGTGAGAAACCTGCAGGAGACGGTGGCAGAACGCCAGGAATTTCATCAATTTCCTATTGGTAAATTCTTTAAAACTAAAAAAAATCTGTTCAGAACAAAACTAAGAAGAAGTTTCTTTATGCTACAATTTAATCAGTATAAGTTGATTACATGTTAATTTACTGCTATTTCATTGTTGATTCAATTCTTGGTTGCTTGCACATTTTGAGTGAACTGCATTCACAAAAAGCTGACTCAGACAAAGAAAATTTACTGCAAAATTTCAGATTAATAACTGAATTAATTCCAACTATCTCAAGTATCTTGATGTGATGGTTATTTACAAAAGCTGTGTTTGACCTTTCAGAAATCAGCGAATGTGTGACTGCTGCAGACTTCTCTCTGATTTTTGGCTGTACCGCAACAGAGGGGCCAGCCATATAATTACGAATATCCCTGACTGACTGAGTGACCATATTTCCACCATGGGTCAATGCCACGTCATTGAGTTGGAGTTTCCTCATTGGCTGTTCTCTTTCAAAATGATTTGGTGCAAACAGTTTCTACGAGGGGGGCATTTACAGCCTGCAGTGTATCCAACTTAGTGCATTTGTCGCTATATTGATTGACTATTTTCAAACCAGACTTGGTATAAACCTAGTGCATGGCTGCAAAGTGTATGGGTGCTACCAAGGGGCTTAGGGCTACACCTCTTGTTACAGGCAGTCACCTTTCCACCCTGGTTTCCCAGCTGCTTGGGAGCAGCAGGGAAGCAGAGAAGTGCTTCCAGTTCACTGAGCCTTGCCTCCATTATGACAAATAATCTACTTTTATTTCATGTACCATTATTACTAAAGGAGGCAGAATAATAACAAAACATAAGACACACCAAACAGGGCCAGAGAGAGCAGGATAGTGGGAGGGAGAGAGAAGGCATCGCTAAGACATCGCTAACTGCCAAGCTAAAGAAACTAGCAGATCTGAATAGCATGTAAACTGTACAGTTGTAAAGAAATTGTCTTACCCCAAGGAAGCCATCCTTGCTTTTTGTCATAGAGTCAAGCAGCAGAGGCTGCATTTTGGCCTCCAAAGTCAAAGTCTCTCCATTGGGTTCATGGATCACTTCCTCCTCAAAATCCACAGGGGGTGTAATCCCTGTGAGGAAGCCGTAGGCATCAGAGTCAATGTAGGGTTACACAGCATGTGACCAGCGATACTGCGCTTTTGTTAGTAAAAGAGGAGAGGGTGAGGGGACACACAGAGAAAAACATAACGTAATGTACCTGTGAGTTTCTCTGCAATAGGTTTAAACTCCTCCGGACTGAGATAAAGGTCATGGTCGGTGTCTAAGGAGGAGAAGAGAAAAAGCCCCTCAGCACCCAGAGTTCGAACACTCTCTTCCTATTGGAGGGACACATGCGTTAGACTGGTCCTTGTTGTCATTTCACATGCTTCAGGGATTTTCAATGCAGCATTAAAATTGGGCCAGTGAGCCATCATGTCACATAACACAAATATCTTAGAAAATGACAAATTGGAAAGAGATGGCTGACAAAAACACTGCTGCAGATGTGCACTTCTTTTATGTTGAGGTATGATATTCTTTTCAAGGACATTACAGTACCATAGCATTTTGTCTAAGCATTCATCAGCAGTCCTGCCTGGATAAAGATCAGCCCAGAGGCCACAAATTCCTAGCATGTATTTCAGTCGACCACCCTTTCTCAGACAGATGCGTGCCTACTAGCGCATGTACAATGGAGGGGAAAGGAGGGGGAGGGAGGCACAAGAACAACTTGGAGACCCTCTGTAGGCAAACAAGTGTGGATTTAAACAAGAGGCTGAGAGCTACAACCCCCTAATAAAACTCCATGGGGTAGGAAAACTGCAGATGCGGTGTTTTAAGGCTACTGAGCTGTCTGACAAATAATTACTCTGTACACATTTTTTAGGAGAGTAGCATTGAAATACAACAAGTCTTCCTGTAGAGATGTTACAGTAATCATACAACATACAGTAATAATCGGAAAATGCACTTTAAGGCCAATGCAAACTTTCTACTAGTAGAGCTGGGGATTGTTAGTTTTGGCATGTGGCATGCATCTCTTACTGAGAATCTATAATGTGTCCGTATGTTTATTTCTTATCAGTGTTTTCAAAATAAAAATGGCACTAGGTTAAGATCGCTGCTAAATTATGGGACGTGTATAACGTTATTACAGATCTGGATCTCACATGACGTTGGACGAGCTGGGCATCTTGATAATTCTTGATCCCAAAAGCGAGAAGAGGGACAGCACCGACTACCAGCAGGGTCCACATCCCCCTGTAGATCCAGGAGCCAGAGCCCGGACTCTGATGCCCATTCTGTGGCGAATTTTTGCTTTCATCCTCGGGGATTCTTTTATCCACGTCTGCGGCCATCCTCGACCTCCACCAAGGCTATTTAGACGAGGGCATGGTCGTGGGATAACGTAGAAAAACCGACAATTACGTTTCGGTATAAACTTCCTCCTTTAAGTGTTTAGAATCTACCGAGAGGTCTGTCGTCCACGAGCCGGGGACCGCACGTCCTTTCTGGCCGTTACACTCGCTGGAAACAGCTGGGAAATGTTAGCTAGCAGCACAGATTTCTTATTTCCCACATCTAATCTGGAAACCATATGGATGTGGTTAAGATGCGTCAAGTGAGCAAGCAGTAGCTCGGATAAAACCGGACATTAGGTGTTTGCGGGCTCGAAATAAAACACTCGTGTGCCTACATCTAGCCAGTCATATGACCTCCGCGCTCCTTGTGATCTGACTTCATAGCGTTCCGTACGGAAACCTTAGGGAAGTGTAAAAGTAAAGGATTTTTAAAAGCTAGTCTCAGTTTGTATCTTGAAATGTATTTTCGTGATTCTCACATGTGTGCTTCCTGTCCAGAATGATAAAAAACGCTTTTCTGAAACGAAACCCAGTAGTTAAGTTAAAAATTTCCTAACGACTCTCCGCTCGGCTCTTATTCCTCCTCACTGGAGGGTATGTTAAGTCTGTTGTGTGGAAATGTTGTTTTCTTTCGGCCATGTGCGTTATCTTTCCCTTCTCGGGGGATGATTGTGACCCGAGTGACGTACGGAGAGCTGAGGGCACGCTAGTTTAAACCTAAACTTATCTTGTCATTTCACCGTCGAGGACCTTATTTTGAAGGTGATAACCGGATGTTCTAATGTACATTCTTTCCAGCTTGGCAGGAGTTAGGAGCTGGCACAGCAGTCACATTTAAAGGAGCAGGGCTGTGTTGTTCATCCCAGGAATGTCTGTTAACAAGCTTCAATTATGTTTGCCTGCCAAAGGGCTTTGTCATTAAATCCGTTGTAACTTCATGTGTACCAGTGGAAGTGAAGGCTTTGTTTCTGCTGGACTGCCCTTAACTGCCTTTTTTTTTAACATGTTCACAATGAAATTTGTATCTCTGTAAATTTGATTTTGCCAACAGTGAGACAAAGACCCTGTGCCTTCAACACTTAAAATGAAACAGTTTATGTGTGACCTTAGTTTTAGGTTACAATGAAAGCCTGGACATGAGTTGCATGCAGTTCCAAAAAAATCAGTTTGTTCTTCTCAGATTGTTTAATTCGATTATTTTTACAGGGCTGAACAGTTAAAACTTATCCTGCTTACAGACATGTGACTCATCATCCACAGCTCCAGTTTCCTCCATTCAAATGAATTATGAAGGGAAAACAAATGACAATTCAGTTTGATTGTCAAGTTAGGTGAAAATATGAAGTATGTCACAAGGAAAAAATGACCTCTGGTTGAGAAACATTGCTCTAACTACACCATGTTGTGCTGTATAAATGTAATCTGACTGAATCCACTCCATTTTATAGTTTATTATCATTCAACACATTTCTACACATACTCAGTATTTACATAGGTACATGTTGCATGACACTACCCAGTGTAAGGTAAGGCTTTCCAGATAATGGTGATACCCAGAAGTTAAACAACCAGTTACATAACAGCTGGCTGAAAAAACAAACATTATTTGTCACAAAAAGGCATTTAACAATGCACCTGGCATTTGTGACAGCAGAAAATCACGTGGGCATTATCCATTTTGTCAATGCTTCTCTTATTGAGTTATCAGTCCATGAGTTAACGTGGGCGGCTCTCAGTCCATGTCCTCTTCCACAGTCTGTGTCTTCACTTCAACAGTTTTTGGGGGGATGTAGGAGCCCATACCTGCCGCTCTCTCTGCCTCTGCTTGGGTGTAGGGCTCCTCTCTGAGCTGTTTCAACCTGGATGGAGAAAAAAAGAGATAAGCTCAGAAAGTCAGATTGTTATCTATCCATAGTATTGTACTGTATGCTATGGCATGGAATCCCATGTGAGCAAGAAGTAATTTGTTGAATGAATTTTACATCACAATATGTGAGCACAGACAGAATGACAGATATAAGAGATACTGGTGCCTTACCGTCTTTTGTGCACTTTACTTTTGAAGTGCTCTTTCAAGGATCTCATATCCACAAAATATCTCCTGCAAGACATAAAGTACCACTGTGTTAAAAAGCGACTCTGTTGACAGAAGAGCTGAAACAATGAATCAATGAGTCCAGTGGTTCCCAACTTGAAACCCCCAAAGGGTCCCTCAAAAATTTGAAGGTGATTAAAGGGATGACATAAGATGAATGTATTTATGTTACACAAAAAATGGGCTTCTTTTTTCTGACTTTTCTCGAAATTTTGTTGATTTTTTTCTTGTGAAACCCTGCACACTTCACATCTTCAGGACTGAATCTAAAAATTTCTTTTAACTGCTTACAACTCTTGTGTCATAAACACTGGTCGGGAACCACCGAATTAGTCAAATGACAGAAAAATTAATCAGCAACTATTTTGATAATAGATGTTCATCACCATTTTTTTTCAACCAAGAATGCCAAAAGTTCCCCAAGTTCCAGCTTCTCAATTGTCAGGATGTGGGTCTTTTCTTTGTCTTATGTGACAGTAGTATAGCTGGGTATCATTCAGTACTGATACCGATACTTTGACTTCGATTCCAACTCTTAAAAGATACTTTTATCAATACCAATTTTATCAAATCCATTTGAACAAACAGAAAATTACAATACACCTTGCGGTACAAATTCTAGTTTTACTTTGGCTTTATTTTTAAACTGGGTTTCTTTCTACACTCAAGCTCGTTCCTGAAAATAAACAGCCAATCACCCATCATTATTAGATCTTTGTCCAAGCATGCTGCATGCTTATTGGCTCACTGATGCTGATGAGATTTACTCATTTACTCCTTATAAATCGGAATTTGGTAAGGAATCCTCGATAGTATCAAACCAAGTCAACCAGTCTATAAAAGTATTGTAAACGTAATATTTTGGAAATTTAGACGAAACAGATAAAAAAAATAATAAAGAAAATAATTAGGAAATAATAAAAATGTTTATGAATTCCCCGTTAAAAAGCCTAATTTCAGTTATACTTCATGTGTGTTAATGTAAAGACAAACAGGGAGAAACTTACGCGCAGTGTAAACAGTAGTGTTGTGCGCATCCTGTCACGTCGTAGTCCACGTCCTGGTGCAGAAGTTTGGCTGCTGTCTCAGGCTTCATGTCTGTGTGGATCTGGTCCAGGTCTTTGGTCCTGCGCTTTGTCTTCCATGTCTTGGCGATGTTCTTCTTCTTGTCACTCTTGTGGTTTCCTTTTTGTTTGGACTTCCCCATCTTAGATCCTACAGGGCAGGATGAAACACGACCTGTCAGGCTGCAGGGATCGACACAGTTAGAGTTATTTGTAGGCGAATATCACGGGAAAAAATAATTACGCTTCACTAATTTTCTCCACCAGGGTTTATGATTACCAAAATCTGTCCATGAACTACGGTTGGAAATTGCAGTTACCATCTTATTAACAGTGTAAAACAGAGAGTCCAGATGTTAGGTTAAACTGTTAAAAGTGGCCATTTTGTGCCACTGCCACCGGCTCAAATTCTATGGGATAAACAAACTGGTGTTCAGCTGACTTCTTCGGCTGAAGAAAAAACAATTATTTAGTAGATTTACTTCTAAAAACCCTTCACAGTTCCATTTTAAGACTTTGCTTACCTTCCACGCGTGTTGCCGAGAGAGATAAATGTACTTCCGGGTCAAAATAAGACTTACATACACCTGTTCACCTATAGAGAGCGCCAAATACCAGTATTTGGGGAAACGACCAGAGGAAAAACGATAACTGGCATTCTATAAGCAATAATAAAATTAAATAGTAACATACAAAAAGTGAACCAACCTCTCACTCTGATAGCCTATATTTAAGCACATAAACCGTGGTGGTAAAAGTATTCAGGCTCTTAGCTTAAATAGAAGAACAAAAACCACACTGTAAAATACAAGTAAAAGTAGCCACTGCATTAAAAATGTTACTTAGGTAAAAGCATGTAAGTATAATCAGTAAAATGTACTGTAATGTACTACAATGGCCCCTGTGACTGTTAAATGATTAGATTATTATTTCTCATGCATTAATGTGTAAACAGCATTTTAGTGTTGTAGTTGACTGAAGTGGAGCTGATTTATTATCGAACTAAAAAAAATTAATTGGAAGGATGAAATGTTTCGCATTTTTGCCGTGAGAACCCATTTAAACAATTATGAAAATAGCTGCCAACTAATTTTCTGTCAATCAATTAATCGACTAATAGTTTCGGCTATGTATTGTAGAGTAGAGTTGTTTGATCTAAAAATGGATAAATAAAAACATATTTTATTAACTCTTCTTATGTTTTGCATGTACAATCTTAATATATAATGTAGATCTGTCAAATACTTGTAGTGCAGTGAAAAGTACAATATTTCTCTCAGAATTGTAGTGAAATGTAAAAGTGGCATGAAAGGAAAATACTCGAGTCTGTGCATTACTTGAGTAAATATAGGCCTACTTATTTACATTCCATCGCTAATATCAAGTGAAAAAAACATTAAATGCCCCGCATGATTTCCTGAGCAAGTGTTTGCTCTGACTGAATTGCACCAGTTTTCTCTGTGTAATGATATTTTATGCTCTGTGGTAATTGAAGCAATTAGGTAGTTATGTTATTCTTCCTTCAATCTTCCCAAATTTAATTTTCACCTCCATCTAGGTGTTTGTGGCCATAAATAATAATAGATGATAGATGATTAATCAGTTAATCAATTATTCATTGACAGAAAATAGTTCGGCAACTTTCTTTGTCATACATTAAAGTAAACTTAATATCTCTTGTTGTACCAAGATAGCCCTTTCACATACATAAAACTTAACAATAAAAACATAGGCTATGAAACAATACAAAACATAAAACTCAACAAGAAAACAATCAGAATCAGCTTTATTGGCCAAGTATGTTTGTGCTTACTAGAAATTGACTCTAATTTCTAGTGGCTCTTAATGTACTTCCCTGATAGCAAAATAAATCTGGCCCATATTTGTGCCTCGTGCTTGTTTTCTTCTGGCCCCGTCTACGGCAATATACGTTCCATAGCCCGAATCTGGCCCACTGACTGTAAGATGCTACTTCAACATCAGGGCCAATTCTGGTGCACACACAGAAAATCTTCCAGCCGTCAGTCAATATCGGAGGATAACAGCAAGACTCTGCCCAGATGTGGAAGTATATGGACCAGAGTTGTGCCGAGGAGCCAGGCATATGTTGTGCCAGCAGTTTCATTTTGCTGGGTTACATCTTTTTATATACACTATGACTTACACATAATATTTTGTAGACATATGTACAAAGTAGTAAGTGAAAAAAAACACGTAAAAAAAAAAAAAAAGTTTACGGACCAAGGGCTGTATTAAATATAAAATAAGGTTAATTAATTAAACAAAACGTAACGACAGTCCCAATAAATAATACCATTAAAACGTAACGTCACATTAGCACAAGTCACCCACTTTCCCACTCTGTGGTCGGGTCATTCGGGTGAAGTTCAGCCCTATGAGTTCAGCTGATATGTTTAAATATTCCGACGGCACTTGAAGGCGGCGTCAGACTGCACTGCATACGCGCCGTGGCGGAGAGCGAAGATGGCGGAGAATAATGTTGAACCAGAGCACGAATGGAGCGACCGGGCCCTGGACACGGCCGAGGACACTCTGGTTGCAATGGAAACCCTGCTAGCCACACTGAGAGCCTTCGAGGACGTCCTCAGGCAACAAGATATATCCATAGCATCCTCCACGGAGTACTGCGACAACTTCTGTCAGGTAATGTGTACATGCAACATCGAAGCTAACGTTAGCACAGCGTTAGCTCACCCAGGATTGTTTTTCTCGCAGCCTGCGAGCTAATCTACGACGGCTGCTGGCCCTCAACCTACCTCACCAAGTTCAGGCTGGCTGTATAACCAGGGAGCAACTGCACAATGTGTATTTTTTAAATTAATTTCCATGAATACATATGATCCTTCGTCAAAGCAGTTTAATTTACCATCACTGGACTAATTACATAGGGTTAGTGATGGATTCCCCGTTTACTGCTTTAAGTTGTACAGTATGATCCCTTTGCGTTCATTGATATAACTCGTTCAGCTCAATCTTATCTAAAACTATGCAATACAGGAAATCTATTACAGATGTTTGCATGCACATGACATTGCCACAGTTTGCACATTGTGCATAATTGCATGCGTGTGGGGCGGGGCGGCATCGCGGTGTGTTTATCCAAATTTTCTAGCCAGCTGGGGCGACCTCAAAATGGCATTTTGGACATTTAGATGAGTTGCAAATATCTTGTGCCCATCAAATTTTGTATTGTTTAGCCTTTATCACAGTGTCAAACGTTGGGCAGTCTAGTACTGACGTTGTATTCATGTTCAAATTGACTGGTAGTATGGTGGATCTGCCATATTGTAACTATATTTTTTGAATTCTGAATATTATTGATATTAGTACAATATTAAGCCAAATATAGTGTTTGAGTTAGGGAAACAGAAACTACGTTGGTTCCCACTTTCAAGAGTCCCTGATTACAAAACTCCAAAGCAGCTCATACTTTCGTTTTTTACCACTTAAGCCAATGTACGCTTTTCACTCACAGAGGAGCTTCCAGTGAGACTTGGTTACCAGCCAAAGTAGATTGTGGAGGAGAGTAATTCATTAGCCAACTCTTCTATGATTGTTCTGTGGCTGCTGTGAAAGCATGCATTCACTCTTTTATAAGTTAGTTTTCAAGCAATACTTACATGCCCCCATGTGCACTGATTTCTGTGACCATTCTTCCTTTCATTTTTAGTCCTACTTTGTGGACAGTGTTTTCCTGCTGAACTGTAGTAAAGGGATAGCAACCTGAGTGAGAGAATTTTGGATCAAAAAGTCTGTAACTTTAATAACTAAGGTACCCGACTGATTTGACCTTTTTAAAAGGCATATTTTACAAACAAAAACAAAACTGTGGCTTTTGACTCCCATCATTTCTATAGCTCGTTTGGAGAAGATGAATGATTACAGCAACCAGTAACTCCTTCGATGTACATATGAGCATGTAACTCCTATTGCTGAAAAATTTGAACCTACCCTTTAATTTCCACTCTGGGCAAATTAAATGATTGAATGATAAATGATGTTGATATTAAACAAAAACTGACAATTTTGTAGTGGTGTTGACTTTCTGTTCCAATCGGAAGTAGTCCAGGTGTAATTAGTACACTGATAGGAGTCTCCAGGGTTAAGAATTCCTTCTTGACTTCCTCAGAGAGTGTACTTTATTTTTGGACTGAGGGGAATTAATTTAGTGCCTCTGTAGACACAAGCAAAAACTGGCAAGGTTCCTTCTGTCTGACAAATGGGACCCCTGGGATGCTGATAGTACGATGATTTAATGCGTGTGCCTGCCAGCTCCATACAGGTGACACACTGGTTTAGACACAGTGATGTTGACTCCTCCATGCCTGGGGACAGTGACAGTGAAGACAATATTTCATACAAACAACACTGTGAGAACCAACATTTTCTGTTCTCTATTATTTCTTGTATTAGAATTTTTTTTTCTTTCATGATAGTGTAATTCAGAAAAATACTTTTTAATGTTCTCAAATTTGTTGAATAAAGGACAGGACTTAAGCTTGCATTTCATCACAAAAACATATTTGAGTGAACGCACCCTCTAAAATATTACAAGTCAAAAGATGCCACGGTATACTTTGTGTCCCTACTTGAGTAGGATTTTGTAGTTCATGATGGCTCACGATTGAAGGTTCAGGGTTGTCATATGCTGTAGAGTCAAGTCCCTTCAGGCCCAATCAGGAGTACCTCACACCAGACGGTGTCAGCTGGGATCAATCAGGTATAGACCGTTATCTTCCCCAGGTGGAAAACCCCTGTTCTTCCACACAAATGTGTCTCCCATCTGATCTCCCCTGGTCCCTTTTTGAAAGTATTTACAGCCTCTTTTCATACTGTTTTTTCTTCACCCTTTACATTTTGAGATTTGTATGTATCTTTTTAGGCACTGATTCACTATGCTGGCAGCAGGAACTCTATGGAGCATGGTCTGCCTCTTCTGGAGGTCTACTGTCTGTCCATAAACTGCTTTGCTGCAGCCCGATCCCACCTCACTGCAGAGTCTGACAAAGTGGCCCTTGTTTTGAAGAGACTAGCTTTGTGAGTATTGAACAGTTTCCACTGAAAATAAAAATAATTAGAGATATAGATACAATGAATTCTCACCACCCATAACCACAAGCACGCATGTCTGTAAAAGAATAAATTAGAGTTTTTCTTTGCACTTGTTTGAGTTTGAAATTAAGTAAGTATATCTTGCCAGCATATTTAGCAGCTTGTGTTGTGTTGGACTTTTTGTGGTCACTGTAAATGTATTGAGGTGAAATGGTCAGCTCATTCAGTTAAGTCCTTAACAGCCTGGTAATACAAACCGACTAGTTGTAATTCAGGCATTTCCTTTGGACTTTACTTGACCTGATACCTGACCGGGTAAAGCCACAACAAGCTTGTCATTTGTCTTTTCTCCCGGTTTTCACATTTCCAAATAGGGCTGGATATCGGCGCTAAACTCCTTATTCAATTAGATTTCAATTCACTAAGTCCAGAGTCAATTCAATTGATGCTTCACTTACATCAGATAAATCAGAAATTTCTAAATGTCCAAATGTTCTGGAA